AGGTGCCCCCCACGCCCCCGTGGATACTCCCCCCGGCTCACCTTTGGGTCTGTTGGGCCTGTGCTGTGTGGAATTTCTCAGGGAAGTGTAAAATAAACACGCGCCTCTGAATGGGGATGACACAGACAGACCAAAGAATGACTCAAACAAGGCTGGCTGGACAAGGAAATGATTTATCGAAGGTCATTTCCAGAGCAATGGGTGGCTTATAGACAGCTGCACTCACCAAGTCACCTCTTCCTTATCAATCAAGATCCTGGGTTTTGGTGGTACTGGGTTTGAACTCAGGGGCCTCACGCTTGCTGGGCAGTAGCTGCAACCACTTGAGCCACTTCACCAGTCCTTTATTTTGTGATGGGATTTTTGAGATAATGTTCACACAACTGTTTTGCCCGGCTGACTTGGAACCGCGATCCTCCTGATCTCTGCCTTCCCGAGCTAGGATTACAGGCATGATCGCTGGTGCATGGCTAAGCCCTATTATAGAGCTCTAAAGTCATGTGGTGCCAGCAGAAGGAAGAAGAAAACCAGACCTAGAGAGGAGCTAAATGTTTGGTGCCACTCCATCTTGTCCTTATGATTAAAATTTGAAGGTTTCAGTGAACATTGTAGACTGTGGGAAAATGGTTTTGTTTGCTGCAGTCTGGCATATAGCCTCACCACACAGAACAACTCGACGTTGGCCTGCTACAAAAGTGGTATTGCTTTGGCTAGGATTCAGAGGACTATGTTTCCTGCAGTCGACATGTTCCCGCTCTTCACGATCTACCTCTTCCACCTAAGAGCACATCCCCCGATGGCACTGAAGTGATAGGAGGGATAAATTGGAAATGGTGATGTTTATGGGCTTGCTGTTGCCTCGTGCCTCATGCCTCATTTGGAATGCTTTTTGGCTTCAGTCCATAAGGGTTCCAGTCCACATTGTTGAATGCAAAGTTGGGAGGGAGGTGGCCTTGGGTCTTTATTTGCTCAATTAAGGGTCCATCAAGGTCCAAGCTCACTCCTTGCCTGACCTATACCTGTAATCCAGTTATTGAGGGAGGCAGCTATGGATAGGATATGGGGTTTTGAGATCAGCCTGCGCAACAAAGTAAGCAAGACCATCTTTAAAAAAATAATCTGGGTGTCAAAGACCAAAAAATCGTATGTTCTCCCTCATATGCGGACATTAGATTCAAGGGCAAACAAACAAGGGGATTGGACTATGAGCACATGATCAAAAGCGAAGAGCACACAAGGAAGGGTGAGGATAGGTAAGACACCTAAAAAAACTAGCTAGATTTGTTGCCCTTAACGAAGAGCAGAGAAGAACTAAAGCAGATACCTTAAAAGCAACTGAGGGCAAATAGGAGAGGGGACCAGGAACTAGAGAAAAGGTGAGATCAAAAAGAGATTAACCTAGAAGGTACACCCACGCACAGAAATCAATGTGATCAATGCCCTGTATAGCTACCCTTATTCAACCAGCAAAAACCCTTGTTCCTCCTATTATTGCTTACTATCTCTCTACAACAAAATTAGAGATAAGGGCAGAATAGTTTCTGCGGGTATCGGGGGAGTGGGGGGAGGGGGGCGAGGGAGTAAGGGAGGTGGGGAGGGAGGAGAAGTGACCCAAACACTGTATGCACATATGAATAAAAAATAAATGAATTAATTAAAAAAATAAAAAAATAAAAGTCTGGGTGTGATGGCACATGTGTATAATCCCAGATATACAGGAGGAGATGGAAGGATCGTGGTCTGAGTCTGGCCCAGACAACAATGTATGAGACCCTCCCTGTAAATAAACCAAACACAAAAGGGCTGGGGGCAATGGTTCAGTGGTTGAGTGCTTGCCAAGAAAGTGCAGGCCCTGAGTTCAAACCTCAGTACCACAAAAAAAGAAAAGAGAACCCTCCCATCGAGTGCTGTGGTAGAGGGAAACACGGGGACCCATAGCCACTTCTTCTAGTCTGTGGGAGGGAGGGGCCTCAGCAACACTTTCTCATGATCAGTATACTGACTTTGTCCCTGAATCACAGAGGTCTCAGGCAGATAGGTTATGAAAAGTTTCATTCCATTAGCAACTGAAGACATATCCCTGTGCCAGAGCTCATGGGGACTAACGCAGCTCACTTCAATGACCGTCATGTCCTCGGTGCTGAGGTGACAGAGATTAAGCATAGCTCTCACCTTCAGGGAGCATCCAGGCCAACCAGGGAGGCACACAAACCATTTTGACACTAAATGATGCAAGCACATAGGGCCACAGAGCAGGGGCACCTCAATCATCCTGCTGGGTCACTGACGGGCAGCCTACATGGGCCTTGGAGATCAAGTGGTCCTTTAGCAGAGATTTGAAGAGAGGAGGAATCAGCTGACCCAGAGGTTGGCATGAGGCAGATCCTGGAATGCCCTGGTGAGGATGGTGAAGGGCTGAAGAGGAACGTGTGTGGGCAGGTCACAGGCCTTCGACATTGCTGCCGTGAAGCTGGTGCTGCTGCTTCAGTTTGCATGGTTGTATCTCAAGTAATAACTAGACTGTTTTCTGGTGGTGCAGAAATTCAGGTTCTGGAATGGTGCCTTTCTCCTCTTCACTTGACTTATTTTGTATCTGTGAGCTCTTTCTATCCATCCTGGCTCTCTGGTGAGAAGAGTTTCATTTGGATCATCTTGTGACCTTCTGCTTGTCCGTGACCAGATCTCTGACAGTGCACCAGTTGATGGATGGAATTGTTCACAAGAAGGCAGAAAAACATCCACAAACACTGCAGTCAGTAATGCCATATCCAGAAAACCTTTGGATTCGTTCCATCTTTTCCCAGCATACAAAATGAGAGCTGTCAAAGGGAGGTGTGGGGCCACAGAGTGGGTAGTGAGGTGACCATAGACCACTGAAAAAGGGCCTTGCCAGTCATGTTGGGCCATTTCTTCTGCTGCAACTTGTGTTGAGATGCTGCCTCATCGGCGGTGGCTTGCCAGGAGTCTCCTGAGGGCTCCCTTGACTTCCTTGTTCCTCAGACTATAGATCACAGGGTAAAGCATGGGAGTTACATTCGTATAGACTAAGGATACAATTTTGTCCTGTTCTGGCGTGTAACAGGACTTGGGGCGAATGTAGATGAATATTGCACAGCCATAGTGTAGAAGGGAGACCAGCAGGTGGCCTGCACAGGTAGAGAAGGCTTTGCTCCTGCCCTCAGCCGAGTGGATTCTGAGGATGGCAGTGATAATGAATCCATAGGAGAACAGGATCAGCAAGAAGGGAATCAACAGGATGAATGTGCAGACCAGGAACACTGCAATCTCATTGACCTGTGTGTCTGAGCAGGCCAGGTATAGAACAGCAGGGATGTCACAGAAAAAATGATCGATCACATGGGACTGACAGAAGGGCAGGAGGAATATCAGTGTGGTGAGGGCAAGTGACAATGCAAAGCCACTGACACATGCCAGCGCCAACATCTGCAGGCAGAAGGCCCTGGTGATGATGAGTGTATAGCGCAGGGGGTTGCAGATGGCTACAAAGCGGTCATAGGCCATTGCAGTCAGGAGGAAACACTCTGCCCCACCCAGAGCAATGAAGAGATGCATTTGCAGGGCACATCCCAGGAAGGGCATCTTCTGGTTCCTGGAAAGGAAATTGGCCAGCATGTTGGGGACAATGACTAATATATAGCAAATTTCAACGATGGACAGGTTCCGGAGGAAGAAATACATGGGGGTCTGGAGGCAGGTGTCAATGAGAGTGATGAGCACAACAGTTGTGTGTCCTGCTAGGGTGATGAGGTGCACGATTAGAAAGAGTCCAAAAAAGAGGATCTGCAGCCTAGCCAGGTCCCCAAAGCCGAAGATAATAAACTCAGAGCTTGAGGTGTGGTTTCTCTTCAATGGGCCCATCCCATATTTTCCTTTGTCGAGCTCCTGGGCTGGAGAGGACATTTTGCTAGCAATTCAATCTGTGGGTGACCCTGAGGCCCTTTCCACTGATCAGAGTGGAGCCAGCTTTTCTAGACGTAGGTCTTACCCTCACTCTATTAGCTTTGTGAATTCTGCCCTGTGTTCACAGACAATGAAGAGCCATTGATGTGAGTCACAGCAGTTGACCTGTTGAGTTATTAGAAAGACGAACCAAGATAAAAGAATCCTAAATATGAAGTTGTTTTTCAGAAACCTAAAGGCAGTGTTTCCGGTGGAGCTTTTCCACGTTTTGAAGAGACTGGGCCTGCAGAGTTGTTGATGTTGCTAGAGGGACTTCCTGGGGAGGGAAGATCTAGCAAGGTAATCTTAGACAATTTGACTTTGCACATTACCTATATTGTCGCCTCCAATTTCCAGGATCCCTGCAGCCAATGAGCTGTGAACAGGGTGCTAGAGCAGAAGGTCACACAACCACAGTAGCTTCTGCCTCTCCCGTGTTACCTCTTCAGACACCTCCTCTGGCCCTCTCGGCTGGGTTATTCCATTCCCTATGCTCCCACAGCACTCCAGGCTTCCACAGTCATGTTTACCACTGACACCTGTAATTCTCTGACTATTTCTCTGTCTGTCTAAGCATCCTGAGTCCCAGGCTGGTCTCTCAAAGAGTGGCTGGCACATGTCAGAAGTATCAATAAATGTTTATTGAGTGAATGCCTATTGCTCATTTCTACATTCTCCACAGTAAGTACCAGGTCAGGCAGAGTCTCACCAGAGTGAGAAGAGCAGAGGGCAAAGGACTGGGCCAGGTCTCAGGACAGAGTTAGGACAGCAAGGGAAATGGGGGGCTGAATGAGCCATACCCTTGGCTGAGTTGCTTCCTCAACGTCAGGGAAGTTTAATTCCTCCTTGCCTTTGTAGGTCCCAAATTACAAGCAGGACTGACTTGTTGTCAGTCTCCCGGTTTTCCCTGTGCATCCTCCATCACAGCAATGAAGAAAAGAAAGACAAAGGTTTCTAAGATCCTAGATATTTAGTGAATCAATATGAATTAAGGGCTCACTGCCACCGAAAGGCACTCATTTCTTACGGACATGCCATTTTCCTGGGACCACTGAAGTCAAAGTCAGAAAAATGAAACCAGAAAAATTCATTTTGATTATAGACCATTTGGCATAGATGTGTTGCAATTCTAGTTTCGCAGCCACTTGTGTGTTATACTGAGTATTTTGGTTTTTTGATTTACCCAACAGGCACGTGGAGTCTTTGAGCTACGGGTCCCTACAGGGCAGCGTGCCAACTCTTCACTTCAAAGCAGATGATCACAAAGCTTTCTACCCCGGGTGACTTACCCCTTGCTCCTGCCCTTATCACTGACCCTGCCTCAGACATCACAATAAGCTCCTGCCCGAAGTCCTCTGTGCTGATGGAGCCTATCCCAGCCCAGACTGCCCACCTCCCAGCCATATCCTCCCCTACTGTCACGGGAGCCCGACAGAAGCCAGAGTGACCAGTCGCCTTCCAGACAGGGTCAACCAACAGCTTGAGCTTAACCCCCTCCTGTGACAAGCCAGCCTCCTACCACTCTGCATGCTGAGCCTTCCCATGAGCTCCTCTGTCACCCCTTGAAACTCTGAGTGAGATTGTGCTTCTCAGTCCATGTTCGTCTTTCTTGGACTTGTGTCCTTGGCTTTAGCTTTGCCACACACAGTCATTTCTACTCTTTTCTCTCATGTCAGTGCTGCAGTGATAGAGGGATTGCTTTGTTAATTGAGCCCTAAACCTTAAAAATATTGAAAAACACAAAAACGAAGTAGAAGTCAGAACATGATCAAAGCACTTAAAAGTAAGACATGAAAATCAATGTGAAAATTTCTGATTCTTCAGTCTTCCCCATACTCTCCAGAGTGAGCCATTCCTAACATTTCTTTCCTTGCTTTATCTTGTGCATATAAAAACACACTCGGCGGGGTGTACTGGTTCACACCTGTAATCCTAGCACTTGAGAAGCTGAGCAGGAAGATCACAAATTTGAGAGCAGCCTGAGCTACAGAGTGAGACCCTGTCTCAAAACACACACCCACACCTTTGCATACTGAGATACACGCATATATACACGTACACTCCTGCACATACTCACAAATACACATACACACAGTCATACACACACACACACACACACACACACACACACACAAGCAACAACCACATTCATACGTGAAAATATCACATGAGATGATAGTATACAACCATTCACTGCCCTTACTGTAGTAATATGTGCCTGAATAATACATCTGGGAGTGGTTTACTTCACTCTTTTTCACTGCTGCATTACTTAGCATAGATCAACTACAATTTAATGAGTTATAAATTAATAAATGAAAATACTGATAACACAATAATATGTAAACAAAACTAAATAAAAATCTCATCAGTCTGCTATTACTTTGACATGGAAGTGGTTTGCTGCTTTTTCTTATTACACTCCCTGCTACAAAGTGTATCACAGGGTAGAGCACAGAGCAGTGGCCAGGCTGTGAAGGTTGCTAGGGTACCGTTCCTGCTCTTCCTCACATCCTACACAGCCTAGAGAAGAGGTCTAAGGTTACCTGCAAGGGCCAGATTGGTGCCTGAAGTAGAAACCTGAGAGTAGCCTGTTGGATCTTCTGCTGTTACCATCTGCTGTTAGGGAACCTAAGAAGGATGAAAGTCCATCCTCAGGAGCATTAGAGGCAGTGGCCTGGACCCAGCAGCGCAGCTCTCAGAGCCAGACAGTGGCTTTCTAGCCCTATCTGGACCACGGGAACAGTCCTCAAAAGTATTGCTAATGGCTCATAGGAAGAGTGTGTCCTTAGAGGAGTTGCCATGGCCTGTACTTGCTTTACATAGTGGCGAAGGCAGGACTCAAGAAGTCTAGGAGAGGTCAGGAAGGAAGCTATACCAGCATCCACCAACCAAGGGGAAAATACCTTCCCAGGTCACAGAGCTGAGTCCAAACCCAAACCCCCAATGACTATTGTTTTATTCGCAAACCTTGGATCTACTACAGGTCTTCATAATGTTGTTTAAGTCAGATCTGCTCAAACTGTAGCCCCTGTTGTCCAGTTACCACTATGTGAATGGTCTTTGGCTGACTCAAGAGGTGAAAACATCCAAGTTTGTCCCAGGTTGAATCTGGTGATCACTGAATCTTGCCAGAGAGGATGAAAAACGAGTAATGGAACCTGAGACTGGCGGACACTTAAGGCCCCTCTCCCCACTCAGATTCTGTGGTTCTGTGTAATTACTGGGAGGGGGGGGGCATAAGGGCTCTCAGAGCCTCCACTTTTATTCTGCAAATGCAGAGTCATCAAAGTGGCTTACTTCATTGAGTGGCATGGGGGATAAGAATATGGAACCTTGAGAATGGCACTACTCATCTGCCTAACCCGCTATCTAATAACGAGCTAAAGGTATTGTAATGTTTTGGAAGTTTCCTCTTCTGGGAGGGCCAGCACAGTGTTGGGGTCTAGGCAGCAGTAGGGAGAAGGCTTTCTTCCCAGCTTCTCTGCGCACACTACAACAGGAAACATGGACACTAAACAGCCCTGTTTGAACTTAGAACCTACGCAATTCCCCTGGAATTATCCCAGTTTCTGCTTCTGCCTGCACTCCAGAGGGGATCCAACATTCCAAGGTAGGAACATGGCACTTTTCTGGCCACTCCATTTTCTTATTCTTCTTTCTTCCCCTCTCGCTCCTCTCTCCCCTTGACTGAAGTTTCTAAACTAAAGATCGTGCTTTAGTGGACTCAGAGGCCATGGGACAAGCTTTGGGAAAAACTCTGAGATGTGATCTTGCCCTGTATGCAGGAATCATGCAGGCTGGTTACAGAGTCACTGAGTCTTCCTAAGTTGAGTCAGAAAACAGCAGAAACCCACCGGAGCGTAAGGGAGAGGACCTGGCCTAGAAGCTGAGAGCACTTGTTCGTGGAGACTGTGGGCTCTTGGAGCAGACAGCTTCAGTACCAGAAATACCCAACATGGGGCCCAAGAGGAGAGCAGAAAGGAAGAGACTTCAGATATAAACTTGACACTTTCAAAGAAAGGCGCCTCAAATGAGACCTAAGTACCTGGGGATTTGCAAAGTTTAGATGTTCTGAAGCAGTGCGAGGAGTCACAGTGAGTTGGCATACAAATAGTCTTGCCGTTGAGGTACTGATGAGCAGCACCAATTCCGTGGATGATGGAGCAGACTGCAGAACCTTGTAGCGGAGACTGAGCATACGGGAGGTTGGAGGGAGTGAACTGGGGTTTCAATTTCTTTCTTTTTCTTTTGTTTCCAAAGGGAAAAGTTTTTTTTAAAAATTCGAAAACACATTTTGAACAGGCTTGAAAATTCTGTGAGACAATTCCGAGTAAGTTAAAACGCTGTGTTATATGAGGGTATTTATTAATTACTTGTTTTGAACAAGAAGGTACACAGTTTTGATAATACAGCGCTTCTCCACATCTCTGTTGAACATTGAATCTTCAAGTCCCTACTGAATCTCCTTGTCAACAGAAGCAATCCTCTTTGCTCTGTCCCACAGGTTCTGAAAGGTTGTGTTTTTATTTTCGTTACATTTAGGAACTTTTCGATTTCCTCCCTAATTTCTTCTATGACCCACTGATCATTGAGCAATGTGTTGTTCAGCCTCCCATTGTTTGTATATTTTCTACTCCTTCTTTTGTTCTTGAGTTCTAGTTTTATTGCACTGTGGTCAGACAGTATGCAGGGGGTTATTTGGATTTCCTTATATTTGTTGAGACTTGCTTTGTGCCCTAGGGTGTGTTATATTTTGGAGAAAGTTCCATGGGCTGCTGAGAAGAATGTATATAGTGCTGTTACAGGGTGCAATACTCTGTGGACATCTGTCAGGTCCATTAGGTCTATGGTGTTTTTCAATTCTAGAGTTTCTTTATTGACTTTTTTGTCTAGGTGACCTATCTATTGGTAACAGA